ATCCTCCAGCACCTGCCACAAAATTACTGCAAGAGGCTGCGGCCCGAGTGCCAACTCTCTGGAGGACCTTTGAGCGGAGATTTGTGCCACCTCGATAAAGCTCTGGGGGTTAGAAAGCTGGGGTGAGGCGTGTAGAAGGTTGTTACGGTGGTGACCGCTGGATTTCAGATGCAGCTCGCGGATCTGTGTTTCTTGGTTCATGTCCCACCTCTCAGCCCCCTTTGCTGTGAAATGCTCCACCACTGAGCTATGCCTCCACCCAGGCCCCTCTGCTCGGTTATTCTGGGGGCTGGTACTGCAACTCTACACTGGACTGGTTTGAGGGGGGCTTTCAACAGGAAGGTTGTGTGTGGGTTAGAATGGAGTGCCCAGTTCATCTCTGTCCTCCCCAGTCTCCCTCCTGAGCTCCCCTCTGCCACTGGGGTGCTTGGGAGCTTCTGTCCCTGCCCAGGTTGGCCAAAGGGGTTACTGCTGCCCTGTGACTGATCGAGGCATGGGAACTAGCTGGCATGCTCTCGGGCTCTGCACTGTCTTGAGCACTTCTGTGTTTTGCAGGGCGTTCACTGCGTCCCTGGGGGAAGAGGACATGAGACAAGACCCTGGCCCTTGAAGGAAAATGAGATAGACTTCAAAGGGCTGATTTCACAAAATTCGCCAGACCTGGAGGTGAAGGGCAATGGAGGTGTTCTCTGAGCCATGGACATTGGGAGGGGAGGAGCTCAGCTATGCCGGATGTGGGTGTGAGCTGCGGGCTAATGCCAGGCCAGGAGTGACAGGCGTGGGCCCTGTGTCCAGGCTCCTTTCTGACCTGGTGAAGGCAGCGCAAGCTGTGCTGAGACGTATTAGCAACTTCTCAGTTGGTCTCTGGTTGGCACTTTGTCCATGTTGAGTAATTGTAGTTTTAGGCCATCCACAACCTCTCTCCCATCCTCTAGTAAATCTTAAGTTCGCTCTTTGTTCAAAGTGCCTTGTGAGTAGCCGGGGACGACTAGGGACTCTGGGCTGAGGGCTGACAGGATGTGCTGCCTCAGGCAGACCTGAACCCTCCTGGGGAACCAGGACACATCCTGACACCAGAGCAGAGCAGCTTCCTGGAACATTTGCTAATGGGGGCCCTTGTGAAAAGGCCCATAAAAGATGTTCTATCTTCAATTAGGGAAATCTAACGCTGGCTCAGGTGTGGACGATACCTCCCACTTCCTGCCCCAGTGGAATAAAGGAGGACACTCTTCTAAATGTCATAGTGTTCACTTTATTTAAATCCTGAGGTTACAAAACAGAACACATGTCCAAATGGTGCAGCAGACACCCCAAAATAGCTTTCTGGGGATAGAAGAGTTTCTCCCTCCCCACTGCCCCCATGTAGATGGGGTGCTGGCATCTGCTGGTTTGCTGGCTGAATTCTTTGGCAGATATGGAAAGAGATGGGTCCTCAGACCCAATATTCTATAAGGCCACACAGGTTGAGGATCCGTCACCTAAACGACAAGACCAATTTTCAAGCCAATGACCGAGGCTTGGGTATCGAGCTGCAGCCCCCCGAAAGGTGGATGAGTCTCTGGATAGTAAGGAGTATTTGGAGGTAAGGAAGGGTTTTCAGAGAAGCCCAGGGAAGGAACACACATCTTTTCTGTTTCTGTGGAAGAACCACAACCAAGCGAGAAAAACTTACCCAAAGTTCCACTAGGAAGTGCTTTTTTTGGGTAAGTGTTCTTTGTAAACGTGGTGGCTGTGTCCACAGACTTGGTGGATGGAAGTTCATCCAAGTTCTTTGTGTCACACACGGCTTCTCTCGGCTTTAATGCTCAGCACGTCTGATGAGCCCAGGGTGGCTCCTTGACCTTAAAACTCTTTACAGAGAGCTAACCAGCTGACTTTCAATCTCCTGTAAAACTGCCTCATCTAACTGGCATCAAAAGATGGCAGTTCTCTGGTGTCATCTTCCCCTGAGCTGGGAATGGCTTCAACCACCTCAGGTAACAATTGAACTAATTCAGAAAAACTATTCCTTTGATTCCTGAGTTGCACTTATCTGGCTTTTCATCACCATTCAGTCCCTGCAATGTTTCCAGATTCCCATTAGAGAATCCCTTTCCTGGCTCTGGTCCAGCCCTCTCAGGATCAGGGCCCCTCTGATGCTGAAAAGCCCTCAACCTGACCTGCATCCTTGATGATGGAGGTGGGCCTGCAGGGGTTGGCGGGCTGCCTGGGAGCTGAGCAACCGCTTCAGCAACAGAGGTGAATTAAGACAGCTGGCATCAATAATAAAGTGGATTCAGAGCTGAGCCATTAAGAGGTTGTCCCCACAGCCTTTAACTGGTGACCTTGATCCCAAGGCAATTTTCTTGATACTAGTGTACTTTAGTTTACCTGAGGCTACCATCTTCCAATTGTCTTTTGCAATTTTGAAAAGTATCCCAAGGCCCAGACCTCAGCATACTCGACCATCTCTTTAAAAGAATAAAGCTACTGATAAAAGCAATAACTAACTAGGTCTAGCAGCTTTGAAACCGCACAGTTCACAGCAAACTTAAACGTGAACAGCAAATGAAGAGTTCATATAGCTACACAAATGAAACCAGAAATGACCGTGCAGTCGTCTCAACACAGAGAGGACCTTCTTTCTACTGTTGCAGTCGGCGTTCAACACAGCAGCGGCCCCCCACCCCCCGCTGAGGGGTTTAGAGTTTGATGTTGTAAAGTTATAATTGGTTCTCTGCCGTGCTGGGTAACAGGTGAAGTTCTAAATGGACCTCATGTAGGAATAAAGGCTTATAGCCTTTCACGGGCCGTGAGTACACAACTGTGCCATCAGTGTTGGCTCTTGTGGCAAATACAGGCAGTGACATGAGCAGAGGGCCGTCAGCTTGGCGAGTCCCCACGGTGTCCTGGGAAAGCAGAACATTCCAAAGAAGACTCCAGATTGTTTTCGTTTCCCGTCTCTAGACATTTTCTTTCATTCCTGTAGTGACCCAGCCAATTTCCGATTAGCCTTTCCAAAGGGGTGGGAGGACTCAAAGGCTGGAAATATGCTCTCACGTGACCTTTAGGCTGCGTGACATGTCTGCAGAGACAAGCAGGCGCTGGGAGGAACTTTTGGAGGCCTGGTCTCTTGGGGGCTAACCGGAGAGGGTCTTCTTCCCCGTTCCCAGGCCCCTTGGTAAACTGACTAGGCGTGCCGACTCTCCCGCTGAGATGCAAGTCCGGGTCCTTCGTGGTTCTTGCCCCTCACCCTGGCCTTCATCTTCCTCGCTGGTGTCAATGTAGTGGCTGCTGGTGCATGGAAGGTAGGGAGGTCTGTGTGAGACTTGGCCTGGGGCCCCTGACTTGTCCTCAAGTCTTTGAAACCAGACAAAGGTTGTCTGGATGATAAAATGAAGTCCTGAGAGGTGATGTGACTTGAGTTAGGTTACAAGGCTGGCTGGAGAGTGGGCTGGGAGCTCAGAGGACCTGTCCAGTGTGTTTCCTTTAGTACCTGGCCACCTCTCCTCCTTGGGTAAAGGCGAGCCATCCTGCGGAAGGACCCAGACCTGCCCACGGGGTGCTGACCTCCAGGAACAAAGGACAAAGGGGCCATCAAAGGTGAGTTGTCTGTGGTGGGAGAAAAGAGCCACAGAGAACAGGAAATTGGTGTCATTTCTGTCCAGGAGCAGGACCCAGGGGCTCAGAGCCTCCTGGGGTCCGCTACAGGTTGCATGTCAGGAAGTGTCCAGATGGGGTGGTGGGGTGGGCTTGAGGTGAATGGGTATTCAAAACCAAGGCCTGAACAGAGGCCTTGAACAGAGCAGAGGCCAGGATGGGGCCTGTTTACACTCACATTACTGAAGACCTGTCAGAAGGTGGGCAGTGGTTCTCACCGGCCATGAGCGGTATCACCACCCCTGAGCTGGTGGATTCCTGCTGACTCTCTAAGGGGCTTCGGAGGCTACAAATCTTAACAGGAGCAGATGGCCTCATCTTTCTGCCGCAGAGCACCGGGTGGATTGGAACTGCCAACCTTTCTGTTAGCAACCCAACAACACACCACACACGACACCACGAGGGATCCTTTATGACCATGAGTAAACAGACTCACTGCAGGGAGGCAGGAGCTCTGATGGCCATGAAGGAGGACAGGCAGTGGCCTTGGAAGCAGTGTCGATTCTGCTTCTGTCCGTGGAGTGGACAGGGCCAGCACTGGGGCTGCAGTCTCACTGCAGCACATCTGCGGCCACTGCGCAGCCACAGTACAGGGTGGGGTGGGGGGTGTTTCTGCTTCTCTGATTGTCTCTAGTTCTGCTCTGGGGGCAATGCTGCGAATGCTGTAAGGCCTGGCTGAGTGAAGGCCTTTATCTCAGGACAGAAGCTCCTGGTCAGGTGGGCCAGGAGGGACGTTACAGCTGAGAGGCCACTCCAAACGGCTGCGCTCTGGATCAGGGAGGGCTGGGATGTGACGGGTGGGGGAGGCCGGCTGGGGTCTCAGGGGGCTCTGGTGCCCAGTGATGGCCCTGTGACCTCTTCTCCAGGGATGACCCGAGACTCTGACAGACTGGGGACTCAGAGAGTCTGGCCAGGGTACCCCAGCTCACGGTCACTCAGGACACTTGGCCCAGACTAGGTGGAGCAGGGCACCTCTCTCCACAGGAAGAAGACAGGATCTCCATTTAACCCTCGACAAGAGGCGGCCCCTAACCAGCCAAGCTCCCAGGTCTCCTGAGAGTTCAAACCTTTGGCAGAGGTCCCTTTGGGTAAAGGACAGCTGGTTTCTGAATCAGTGGAAAAGCTGCTTGAGTTCTTAAAGGCTACGGAGCTAAGAGCTGTGCCGGGCAGACAGCAGGCAGTGCGGGGACACCACGGCTCAGGAAGGCTGCCTTTTTTTTTTCTTCTTTCTTTTTAAAAAAGTGTTTTATGTGCCTTGTGAGGAGAAAGAGTAGTGTTTCCTGTGAACGAAATGTGACAGGTGAGGAAGAGTAGTGTTTCCTGTGACTAAAACAAAGCGGTTAAGATCCTGTCGCCTGCAGCTACGGGAAATCGCTTCCATCATAGACGACAGGTCGGTCAACCGTCAGGTGATAAAATACTTTCTTGGAGACGAACCTGAGAAAACAGAAATGTGAAAGGAAAGTGTTACTCTGAGAACTGAAAGGCCGAGGGCGGAGGCTGCTCGTGGGGCCTCTGGGCTGCGTGGGAGCGCGGGTGAAGGGGCATCGGGACAGGCGCTCTGCGGGCCGGGCCCCACGTGAGGGCAGGTCTCATCCACAGCCCTCACGCCATCTGCGGTCTGGCCGGCAGAGTTCTCTCCCTGTGGAGAGATGGTCAGGGGACCTCGGGCTGTCTCCATGGCCTCTCCAGGACTTAGGGGCGGAAAAGCCCTTTGGTCCCCGGGAGGCATCCGTGGTCCTTCATCCCTCTGCTCTGAAATGGTAGTGGTCATCACTGCACCATGCAAGCAGACAGGGCGGGCGACGGGAAGACAGTGTGGATGCCATTACCATCGGGTCTTGCTGTGAAATGACTCCAGTGGGTCTGAACACTGTAACCTTCTGAGGCAATACTGTCGTCTTCCCCATGATAACGGGGAGCAGGCCTGAGGTTTCAGCCTGTGCTCTGCCGTCAGCATGCCTCACCTCGGGCTCTCTCAATCCTGAGTGAGGAGCAGGGAGGTGGTGACAGTGCTTCCTGTCACGACAAAGGAGGAAACGGCTGGCGAGCCACAGCGGGAAGAGCAGAGCCCATGCCTGACTGACCCCAACCGAGCTTCCTAAGCACTGTGCCGTCCTGCCACCCACGAAGGGCCGCAGCCTGTGCCCGTGAAGGCCTGCTGCTGGGGTGTGCTTATCTCTGAGGTGGATGCTTGGCTGCCCCTGCCCAGCCCCTCCGTGGATGACTGCCCTCGGCCACGGGCCCCGGAGGGTGACAAAGGTTTTCCCTAGAGTGTGCTGCCCAGTCAGTCTGCTAAAAGCCCAGGGGATGGGGCAGGGTGTGCAGATGTGTAGTGTATTCCCTGGAAGGGACTTGGTCAGGGCTGGAAGAGGTGTTGAACATGTAGCCCCAGTTAAAGGGGCTTTTGCTGAGGCCAGAAAACATAAAGAGGGATGGGCCCCCAGTAACCCTAACCTCCCCTCCCCTATCTATGTCTTCCTGAAGGAGGGGCCCCTGGCCCAACCACTGCTGGGCCCCTTCCCTATCTCTTTCCAGCCACCCCTCCAGCTTTTCTCCTCACATTTCCACTTTCCAGACCCCACCTCCTCCCTTCCCCAGACTTAGACTCCCAGCCCTGTGGCTGACTCCGAATCCATCCTTCTTCCTGTGACAGCCTCAGTCCTGCTCATCTCAGACTTCTCCTTCATCCCTCCACTTCATTTACTAAGCTCCTCTGTTGGGCTGGGCAAGAGGAATCTGAACCTTAGAGGTAGGAGAGGAGGGTGGTTAGAGACCCTGGAGCCGGCTGCCTGGCTTCAAATCGAGCTCCACCCCACGTGTGTTGCTTGACGTGGGCACGTCACTCTTCTCCCTCTGGTTCTCACTCCCTTCAGCAGTGATGTGAGAGACAGTTCCAACCATACGCAGGTGCTGTGCTGTCAGGTTTACCTGAGCCAAGACAAGCCGAGCCACCTGGAACATACTTAGCCACTTAGAAGACTGTTCAGGTGGTAACCTGTGCGTTACAAGATCTCTAACAGGAAATAGGAACACCACAGGATAGGGGTCTAAAAATTGTTACTAACTTATTGACAGTTCAAAGATTGGCTTTTAAAGTTCACCTCTGAGCACTGTGAGAACAGGAGGCAGAGTGGTGGTGGTGGTGGTGGTTGGGTTCTCATCCGCAGGCTGGTGAGGGAGGCCTTACCTTGAGAAGGTGTTGTCGAAGATGAGCATGTAGATGCCGGGTGTGCGGACCTTGAGCTGGCCCTGGATGTTCTCCTTGTGGGAATTACAGCGGGTCATGGGAATGAGGACCTAGAAGAAAAACGGACAAAAAAACCCAGGTGTCATGGAGAAGGAGGCCTCATGCATTCTCGGGAAGAGGAAAGGAAAAGAGGGAAAAGGAACAAAAAAAATACCAGTAAATTAAAAATAAAATTATGATGATAGACTTGAATGCAACCTTGTAAACAATCACATGAAATGTCAGTAGTCTAAATGGTTCACTTACAAGTCAGAGCTTCTACGTTTACACGAAACAAGACCTAACCCCCTATGCTGCTGGCAAGAAGTGCAATTGAAATGTAAAGAGGCAAAGAGATTAAAAGGATGGGAAAAGAGGTACTATGTGAGCACTTGGAAGCAGGAGCGGCATCCACTTCCTAAACAAGAGGCCTCCGGAAACTATGACTTTTGATAAATGTCGATAGTTGTAGAGGGGCTTCAGGACTTTTGTCATAGGGTCGCTATGAGTCGTGCTGGACTCAAGGCAATCATCAACAACAACAACAACAACATGTGAGCACTAGCAAACAGAAAGCTGGACTTCCAGTATCCACTGGAGACAAATGGACTTTAGACTTCATAATGAAGGCATCGATCATCAATAAGAAATCTACATATTTTCCCCTAATGACAGTTTCATAGTACATGAAGTGACAAGTGATTGCACAAAGAAACAGGAAAATTCATAATTACAGTTGGCAATTTCAATACGCTCCACTCCATATCATGCTTGGGGGGGGTGGAGGGACAGCGCAGGAGGGGAAGGCCCTCTGTGAGGTGGATTATTCAGTGACTGGGGTAATGGGGATGGGTGTATTGGAGACAGTGCGACTGGCACAGGAAAGGGCAGAGTTTAGGGCTGTTGTACATAGGGTCACTATGAGTTGCAGGTGACTTGACGGCACATAACAACAACAACACCCACTCCATAACTTATGGGTCAAGTAGATGGGAAATCAATGAAGTCTAAAAGACTTAGAGAACAACCATCAGCTAACTTGACCCAGACATTTATAGAATACTCCACCCCAGGCCAGCAGAGCATAAGTTCACACTCACTCGGAACAGCCCCCTACTAAGATCACAGGCTTTTAAAAAGAAAACAAATAAAAGCTTCAACATATTCAAAAGGCTCTGAGTTACACAAAATACATTTCTCTGACCATGATGAAATTAAATCAGTAACAGATTGTTGGTAAATCCCAAATTCTTTTAAAAGCTAAGTAACGTACTTTGGAATAACCCTTGATAGTGCAAATAGTTCATGCTCTCAACAGCTCATCAAAAGGCTGGGACGTGTGAATGCACACAGAGGCATCTCAAGGAGCTCTGGTGGCGTGACACATAATGTGTTGGCCTGTTAATCAAAAGGTCAGTGGTTCAGATCCACCAGACACACTGAGGAAGAAATAGGAGGCAGTTCCCTTCAATGAAGGTTTACGGCCTCAGAGACCAGGGGAGAGTGGCTGAGTTGGTATCAGCTCACCGGCACCTAGTTTTGTTTGCTTTAAGAGACACTTTGGAAGGCGGCCAGATGACAGAAAAAGAGAACCCCACCACTGGAAGCCCATGAAGACGGCTTTACTGTGACACAGATTGGAGTCGCTGTGAGTTGGCGGTGATGCCGCAGAAACTGGTAGAAATAGCCTTTGGGTCAAAGAGAAGTCACGAGGAAAGCCACGTGGGGGAGAGAGAATGGCTGGGTCCCTGGCCCGACCGTCCACTCATCTGGCATGAGAAGGAAGGAGCAGAATGACCCAAGACAATGCCTGCAGGAGGAGGAGATGGGGGCAAAGCAGCACACAGAACCTTACTGAGAACCCACTGCTTGCATTCCGTGGCAGGCACCTCTGCGGGTTCTCTCCTGAAGGACTAAGAATCCCAGGAAAGAGGTAACTGGCAGCTCCCCCACCGCTGAGGAAAGTCTGATAGGAGATGGGGGCTGCCTTCCCGCTGTCCCCTCAGCCCACACACTTCTCGTCTGACAGATGTCCCCTCTCCCTCTCCAAGCGCCTTCTCCTTGGTCTGACTGGCCCTTCACTATTAGGCCCAGGAGTGTCCTCCTATAGGGACCTTCCTCTGGCCACCATCTCCTAGCTGGGCTGGGTGCACCCCCCGGGCACACCCCTAAACCCATCCACTATCATGTCACGCACCACCCACATCTATCTGCTGCTGGGGCCTCTCGCTGCATTGTGAGGAGGCAGGAGAATCTCAACACATCCCTCCACGACTGTGAAACCCACGTGCTCCTGTCTGCATCCTGTCAATTCTTGCTGGGCTCAGGCATGTCAGGAGAACACACAGAAGGTCCCAGAGAACATGCTGGTGACACACGTCTCCAAACAGGCTCCCCAGGCTCATGTTTCGGAGGCTCCAGGCAGAACTACAACAGCACCCCCACTTCCCATTCGACCCAGCGGTTACGGCTGGGGACAGTGAAGGGTGAAGATAATGCTGGTCTCACTCACTCTGTGTCTGGGTTCCTTCTGCCCCCTGGTGTCCACCGCGAGGAATGACAGAGGTGGTAGTGGAACCTCCAGAGGTTACTGTTATGTGTGGCCAGGACCACGGAGGAGCCCACGACTGGTTTTCAGAGGCAGTAAATCGCATGGGAGGAGACTATCAACCTTGCTCCTTCAATAATTTCTAGAAGGCCACCAAAAATTAGGAAGGTTCTCCCGCGTCTCCAAGCTCCTGGCTGAAACTACAGCGTCTCCCAGGGCCATGAGGATTCGGCTGAGAGAGAGAAATAGAGCAAGAAAGGTGCGGGACCCAGTTGTAAGTGGGCCCCTGGGATGGCAAAGGCCTGCACCTCTCCTCCAGGTTTTTACCGGTCTGGGAAGATGCAGGCATTTGGTAAGTCTTGGGGAAAATAAGGGGGGAAAGCTAAACACCTGCAGGGAGCGCTCGGCAGCACAGGTGACGGTGAGGGACAGCAGACAAGCACACTGGGTCAGGAGCTACTAAACGAACCGAATGACCCCAGGCATTGACTCTGAATCTCAGTGACCTCAGCTGTAAAGTGGGACTATGACCTGGAGTCAGGAGGTGTCCAGGATGAGTCGGGATTTACCCACAGATGGGCCAACACTACATGGTGGAGCCTTGGACCACGAGCCATCGGCCCTCCTGAGCGAAGACCTGGAACCTTTCAGAAATGAAGGGCTTCAAACTTGGGTAGGAAAGGCCTTTCGTGAAAAAGAACACAAGACTCTGATAAATGAGGCCAAGGGAAGAGAACAGGAATTACACTGTACATGGGGGCCCCTGGAGCACATTACACTGAGTGAAATATCTCAGTCACAAAAGGACAAACCTTGCATAGCACCACTGTTATAAAGCAAGGCAGACATTGGGTTTGGGAGGAGAATAGGATAGATGTGGATAGAGATGACCACTGCACTGAAATACATGAAAGAAAGAACTGTCTAAAATGAAGGCATTACAAGTACGACAATAGCCCAGAATAAGAGACCTATCATTGTAAAAAGGGCTGTGTGTGTGTGTGTGTGTGTGTGTGTGTGTGTGTGTGTGTGGTGTGTGTGTGTGTGGGGGGGTGTGTGTGTGTGTGGTAATTGTACAACAGTGAATGAGTATTTTAAAAGAGAGTGAATGGGAAGGGGGAAGGGAGGGCGAGTAGGTAAAATGTGCAAAAATAAACGAATGAAAACGTAACTTCTCTGTAAATGTTCGTTAAAAATCACAATTGAAATAAAATTCTATTTAAAAAATAGTGAGTTTGAAGAAGGGAGAAACCACAGAGCGATTTCTACAGTGATCAAATACTGAGAAGGCAGGGACGGCAGGAGAGGAACCCCAAACGTGAATACATTCCTGCCCAGAACAGCAGAACTGGGGACCAGGTCTGCGGTCGTCAGAGAACAGCTGTGTGGCCGCACTATACTCCTAGCCGGTCTTCGGCCTGTACCTTCCTCATCCCAGGGGCCTGGTGGACTGAATGCAGAGGGACCAATAGAGAAAACAGCAACAGACCTCACACAAGCTTTAGTCCATGACTTCGCATTGCTTTGACATCAAAATCCTTATGGTGGTTTGAATCATTTGTATAAGCTGGAGATTTCTGCACCTACATTAACCATTTACAAGATTCGCATTTCTGACCCTCTCTGACCATTCTGTCCACTCAAGATGAACTGAATGAGCTCATGTTCCCTCTCCCTTAACTACCTGTCGCCTTCTCCCCACAGAGACTTGGGCATGGGATTCAGAGCCCAGGCAGAGTCTCCGTTTTCCGCACCCCATACTGAATCCATGGAGTTTTAGTCTATGTGTGTTCTGGCTTCCACGCCATCCTTTCTCCTGTGACTTCCATCCCCTTGATCTAAACCTTGGTCTTAACCTTGGCTGTGTTTTGGCCTCGGGTGGGGATATCTGGGTCCCAGCCCTGGAGAGTCAGCTGTAGGGCTCTGGAGAGTGTTTCAAAGTTCCCCAGGGGTTTCTAACGTGCGGCCAAAGCCGAGAATTACAGTCCAGGCCACTGTCAATGTCCTGTGTCTAAAATGCCTTCAGAGTCCGTGACTTAATCATCTGCCAAGGTTTCAAGCTCAAGCACTCTGGAAGTGAGATGCTGAATATCCCATCTAATGCTATCTGATTACCACTGGGCACAGAGATGTCACCATCAGGAAGGTAAGCCAGGCCTGTGCACAGCTGTTCGAAATGACTCTTAAACGGAGGCCCACAGCTAGGTCTCACCTATGATCATCACACAGTCACACGGAACCTGTCTGCCAGAGAGACCTTTAGACACGTGAGGACAGCTCTCCTGAGCCTCCAGTCCTTTTCCTTCCTCAAGTGGACAAACCCAAGCACTTCATCCACTCCGTGGGACAGGGCTCAGTGGCCTTTTCACCCTGGTTCCTCGCCTCTATGGAGCAGGAACCTAGGACTGACCTTCACGCTCCTGGTAAGGCCTGTCCAGCAAAGTGCAGGGAAAGCTAAGACTTCAACTCAAGGAAAAGTCCGCCCAGGCAACCTGGAGTTGAGTAAGGGAGCGAGAGAGTTAGGCACCTGCAGGCAGGGGGCCCTGGCCTTACCTTACACTGATCCAGGGGTGTGTCCTCTGCCTCCTGGAAGACCACGCTGAAGGAGATGCTCTTGGGGTCTGAGGAGAAGACCCAGCTGATGGTGAGGCCGACCTCGGCCACCGTGATGGGGATCAGGCTGTAGGTACTGGACCTCACAAACAGCTCCCTGCTGCCCTCTCCAAAACCGATGATCTCTTCCACGGTGAGTGGCAGCTTTATCCTGCAACAGAAAATGCAGGGACGGGCCTGGTTAGAAGAACAAATTGCTTGTCTGGGTCTACTGGCTAGAAGCTCAGAGGTGGCCGGAAACCCCTGCAGGCCAAACCCTGGGGAAGAGGCTTAATCAGGGGAGGAAAATGATGTGCACGCACTTTTTGAGAATATACCATCTGCTAGCTTGTCTACTGAACCAGCTGTAAAACTGTTTCTAACTTATGTTGACCCCATGTGTCCAATAAAATGTGCTCCATAGGATTTTTGAAAATTTATTTTATTATTTTTTGTGTGTGTACCGTCAAATCGGATCTGACTGGTACAGGAGGAGAATGTCCCTCCTTCTCCAACAGAACATCTGGTGGATTCGAACCGTGTATCTCTGGGATTGCAGTACAGCTTCTTGCTACTGGGCCACCAGAGCTCCCCAGGATTATTTTGAAAAAGAAATAAATAAAAAAGAAAAAGCAACTTCTTTATTTTCTGGTACGTATTTTCTTTCTTTGTATAGAGATCTACTTTTTCTGCATCATGTGAAAGGTATTCTTTTTTTTTTCTTTTTAATTTATTTTAATGAAAGTTTACAGAGATTTTTGGATTTCCATTCATTGCTCCATAGGATTTTCAATGGTAAACTGTTAAAAAGTAAATCACCAGGCTTTTCTTCTGAGGCAATTCTGAATGGACTTGGACCTCTGACCTTTAACAGTGAGTGAGCATGCTGTCTGCACCACCCAGAGATTTCCGGTTTGTCTCCTATGAGTGTTATGACTGATGTTGTCGTTAGGTACCATCCAGTAGAGTATGACCCATGGAGACCCTCTGAACAACAGATCTGATCCCTGTCCCATGCTGTGCCACCCACATGCTTCCCGACACACTAGAGCCATTGTGTGAGTCACCATGTCCATCCACCTGGTTGAGGGTCTTCTCTCCTGAGCCAAACCTCTGCCTTTGCGAGCATCATGTCCCCTTCCAAGCAGCAGCCCCTTCCTAGCAACATGCTTGAAGTGCGTGAGGTGAAACTTTATCATTTTTGCCTCCAAAGAGCACTCTGGCTGCACCCTCTTCAAGACATATCTCTTTGTTCCGTTGGCCACTCATGGGATATTCAGCATTCTTCTCCACCACAGCTCAAAGGCATCAATTCTTCTTCTGTCTCCCTATTCATTGTCCAGCTCTCAGATGCATTAGTAGGTGACTGGAAAGATCATGGCTTGAATCAGACGCACCTTAGTCTTCAAACTGACCTCATTAATCCTCAATAATCTGAGGAGGTCCCTAACTGCAGATCTTCCCAGTGCAACACATCTGATTTCCTGACTGCTAGTACCAAGGGTGGTAGCTGTGCATCCAAGTCAGATGAAGCTGTTGGTTTCAATCTCCTCTCCATCCACCATGATGTTGCCTATCAGTCCAGTTGTTAAGAATCCTCATTTTGATGCTGAGATGCTGGGCACAGGGGAAACAGAAGTAAAACGTACAAAGGACAATCTTTGCTCTTGTGGGACTCCCTAGGCCCCTGGCCCCCAGCTGCTCGAAGCCCCTCAGGGACAGGGAGCAAGCGGGGAGGCCTCAGCTTTCTGAGGTTCTTCAGAAGCTGCCTTGCTGCTCAGCCTCTGGCGTTCTCTGCTGCCAGTCTCCTGCCTCCACTTCTGACCTAGTCAGCGCCAGCAGAAGGCCGAGTTCCATCTTTAGGAACCTCCAACCCTTCTCTAGTGGAAACTTGGGGCCACTGCAAGATTCCAAGTGGGCATCCTGCTCTTTGCTTAGATGTGACACTCCTGAACTCTTCATCCTGAAGCAGAAGTGACTCTCCTGAACTCTTCATCCTGAAGCGAAGTGACTCTCCTGAACTCCTCATCCTGAAGAGGAGGCAGGGGGGGTCCTACTGGTTTGGGGGTGGGGTGGGTGCAGCTTGTCGAGGCTGTGCCTCTGGTTCTGACTCATGAGGCAGACATGAGAAGTGTCCCAGAAAAGCATTCCTATCCACTCAAAGCACAATAAAAAAATTATTTTTTAAAAAAGGGAATATTTGTGACCGTTCAGTGAAGCCTTCCTTTTCACGTTTCGGTCTTTGAGAACCTTGTCAGATCATTCCAAACGTGTAGCAGTCAAGAATTTTCCTGCCTTGGGGACTCTCTGCAGGATCCACCCAGAGATCCTCCCCAAAGATAGGAAATCTTTGCAGTGTGGAGCCAGGGGCACTCGGTTCTGGCCCCTGCCTCTCATTTCTCCGTGTACAAAACAGAGGTGCACCTGCCTCATGATGGGGAAACTCCCTGAGAAGTGCAATGGATGGGCGTGGGGAGGGAATCAGACTCTGCCCATTGAAGGCTCCTCTGAGGCTCAGTGGCTCCCCCTTCTGCCAGGTGCAGAGGTGGCCAGTTAGGCTGAGCAGCCACTTAGCATCGGTGTGGCCTTGGGCCAGTAAGCCCTCTTCCAGCCTCATTTTCTCAGGTGGTTTTCTTGAAGGTGGCTTCAAGTTCAAGGCAGTGCAAGAGAGGCAGACCCTCAATGACATCACCTTCTAATACACTATATAATTCATTTACTTACATCTATTTATTTTGACCGTCAGCCCCTGATGGAATACAAGCTCCTTGAGGGCTGAGATCCTGGTCTGCTTTTTTCACTGATGTACTCTGAACACTTAGAACACTGCCTAGCACATAGTAGGCACTGAACTGTGAAGGATCAAGGATCTGTGAAGGAATCAATCTATTCAGTGACTATTATGTAGCCACTGGACACAACACTAGAGAAAAACGGTTAATGAAATGAGACAATATTCACGCTATAAAAGAGCTACATAAAAGAGCTCTGGTGGCCTAGTTAGGAATAGCGTTGCCAACCCAAAGGCAGGCAGTTCGAGCCCACTAGCTGCTCTGTAAGAGAAAGGTGAATGATCTTATTTCCTTCTGTTTATAGGTCCTGAAAAACGGCTAGAGGGTCAGCTCTCAGTCAGTTCTGAGCCAACAGCATACAACTACATAGTCTGGGCATGTTGCTAGATGTGGCCATTCCTTGGAGAGGGACATCATGCTTGAAAGGGCAGAGGGACGGCAGAGGAGAGGAGGAGCCTCAACCAGGTGGGCTGGCACGGTGACTGCAGCCGTGGGGTAGAGAGGGTCAGAGACGGTGAGGGCTGCACAGGACAGGGGTCAGACCTGCCGTTCACGGGACGGCTACGAGTCATCCTCAATGTGGCAGGACCCAGCAACAACAACAACAGCAACAACAACAACATAGTTTCTGAAATTTATAAGAATATTTATATTTAAAAATATACACGCATAAGGAAGGTTATACATCAGAGAGGTTTGCTTATCCCTAATTACCTAGCCTTCAAAAATGACTGTTCTTAGAATAAGGAAATAAATATAACAGAGCTGTTTTCAAGAAAGTACTGGGAATGGGGAGAGGGAGGGTCTCTGTGGTTGAAACTGCATGACTGCATTGTCCGAGCATGGTCCACTGTAAAAGGTGACATATACTGTATGGCAATTTTATCTTAAAAAGAAAAGTAACAGTAGCCTAGTGGCAAGAAACTGCACTGCAATCCCAGAGATATGTGGTTCAAATGCACCAGATGCTCTGCTGGAGAAAGGAGGGACAGTCTCCTCCTGCACCAGTCAGATTCGATTTGATGGTACACACGCCAAAAAAAAGGAAAGTGACCAATGGAACCAAGGGGGCCTCAGGGTCCAGCTCTGGCTTGGGAAAGGCCACTGCCAGCTGGTGCTCCTCTCTCGGGGGTCCAAATGTGGGCGCCCCGCTCAGTCACCTGCCACTCACATCAGCTCTCCAGACTTCAGCAGGCAGATTTCCGTGTCCTGACCCACAGGCATGTCCTCAGCGTCCTCCGGGGTGAGCGAGCTCGATGTGTTATCCCTGAAAGACAAACAGGAACGTCACTATCCAGCCATCAGCACCCACATCCTGAGGTCCAAGGCTTTGTGGTCTTGGAGCCACCCTGACATGCCTGAGGAGTCCTTCAGACATGGAGGCTGTGATGGACTCTTGCACAGAGCCTCATACGCACAGCAGTCTCTGAGGGAAAGGCCACAGAGCCAGGGCCAAGGGGGCAGGAGTGGACAAGGAGAAGGCTGCAGCCACACTCCTCGTCTTCCTGAGAGGTAGGTGGGTGCACAGTGATCATACCCATGCTCAACCCGCTCCTAGGCAGTGCCAGGAGAGCCGCTGCCACCGGAGTAGGTGACGGATACCACCGATTCCTGCCTTTTCAGCTCCAGCTCCCGACTGGAGAAGTGTCCACTAGACCATCTCCAGGAGGTATAAACACAGGTGCCTGGAGCTGATGAGGCAAGAGAGAGTGCGAGGGCCAGGTACACACCGCTTCCCTTCAAAAGACACACTTAGCTGCGCAGAGAACCGAGGACAGGAGCTACCGTGGCAGTGCACTGGGTCATGGCTCCCACAGTACTCTCCACGGAACATCTCCTGGGTGAAGGTGGGGGACACAGCATCTCGTCTCTCCCTTTTAGAAAGTCAGTGTATGTTAAGCATTAAACCCCAAGAAGCCTTGCAGTAAAGAGGCCTATTACATTTCCGTCATTGATGTTAAATAACATCGAGTTGGTCCCATTGCATAGCTCACCCTCCAGTGGGTTTTCAGAATGTAGTAAATCACACAAGGAGGAGATTGTCCATCTTTCTCCCAAGGAACAACTAGTGGATTTGAACCATGTGTCTTTGTGTTGACAGCATAGCTCCTTACCATTAGGCCACAAGAGCTCCCTCTTATACCTTTGTTGTTGTTATGTGCCATCAAGTTACCTGTGACTCATAGCGACCCTATGTACAACAGCCCTAACCCTGCTCTATCTTGTGTTAATCTCACTGTCTCTGACACTCCTACCCCCATTACCCCTGTCACTGAATCAACCCATCTCATAGAGAGTCTTCCTCTCTTGTGCTGTCCCTCCACCCTCCCAAGCCCCCTCCAAGTACTGGTCCCTCCTTGCAACATGTCCAAAGTATGTCAGACGAACTTCAGAATCCTTGACTCCAAGGAGCAGCCTGATTTCACCTCCTCCAAGATGGACTTTTGTTTGTTCTCCTAGCAGCCCTTGGTATATTCAATATTTTTCTCCAGTACCACAGCTCAAAGGCATCAATCTTCTATCATCCTTAGTCACTGTCCAACTCTCTGATGCATAGCAAGTGATTTCAAAGACCATGGGCTGTATTAGGTGCACCTTAGTCTCCAGACCGATGCCATTGCTCTTCAGTACTTTGGCGAGGTCACTGACAGCAGACTTTCCCAATGCAATATGTCTTTTCATTTCCTGGCTGCTGATGTCAAGAGTGTTGACTGTGGAAGGGAGTTCTAGTGGCATAATCCATTCTGAGCTGAGCTAACCTAAAGGCTGTGTGTCTCTACCAGTTTGAGTCCACCAGCGGCTTCTTGGGAGAAGGATGGGCAGTTTCTTCCCACTGTGATTTATCAACTTGGAAACCCTGGAGGGTCAGCTATGAGATGGAACCAATGCAAAAGCACTGAGTCAAGCTGTCCCTATTTTCTATTTGCCCACAGGACATTTTTAACATCTACCGAACTAGTTAGCATCAGAAGATCCTCTAGGAAACAGTGGTGGAAGGCAGTCTCCTCACTTTGCTGATGGAAGTACTGGCGAAAGCAGGAGAGCAGGGGCTGGGCCAGATCACACACCCAGATGCCGGATGCCCAGATTCCATGCTCTTTCCAGCGTCCTAGACTCTCTTAGAGATCTCCAAGGCCAACCAACTCGACTCCCCAAGTCTGCTGAAGAGGAAACCTACATCAAGAACTGGATTTTGCACAATCATTAATACATTCATTGCAAATACCTTAAAAAAACAACAACACAATGACCAGTGGTTTGAAAAAGTAGAGTATCAGTAACCCAATTATAAAATGGACAAAAGATATGGAAAGACCTTTCACAGAGGAAGATATTTGGATGGCCAACAGACACATGAAGAAACGATCAAAATTACTGGCAGTAAGAGAGATGCAAATCAAAACAATAACTTCTCGCTCCAGTAGCAGTGGTAAAGTTTAACAGGCAGCAGGTAATAAATGTTGGAGAAGATGTGGAGAGATAGGAGTTCTTAAACACTGTTGGTGCGATTGTAAAATGGTACAACCACACTGGAAGGCAGTTTGGTGTTTCATAAAAAAGGTGAACATAGCAATTCTGTATGACCCAGCTATTCCACTGTTTGGAATCTACCCCAAGAAAATGAGAAATGAGACACAAACAGAGATTTGTACACCAATGTTCGTAACAGTGTTATTCACAGTCTAAGAACATGGAAACAGGCCTATGTTCACAATTGAATGGATTGAGAAACTGTGGTACATTCACATGATGGATTACTATGCAGCAGGTGGGAACAATGATTTTGAAAATTACTACATGACTTGGGAGGGACTGGAGTGCAATATGCTAAGTGAACTAACTCAGTCCCATAAGGACAAATACTGTATGAGACCATTGTATAAATAGAAAGTAAGTTGCAAAACGGGTATGGGATTCAAGTGGGGAGGGGTGACAGCAGAGGGGCGAGGATGAGGGGGGTTAATCACACTGTTGCACAATTTGATGGGTAGAGGGAGGGATGGATAAAGGAAATGGGAAAGATCTAGTGTGAAAAACAGTGTGTACATGCACGCCTATGTTTATTTATTTTTTTTTTAATTTTTTTATTTTTATTTTGTGTGCGTGTACCGTCAAATCAGATCTGACTGGTACAGGAGGATATTACGCCTCCTTCTCCGGCAGAGCATCTGGTGGATTCGAACCGTGTTCCTCTGGGAGTGCAGTGCAGCTTCTTGCCACTAGGCCACCAGAGCTCCCCAACGCCTATGTTTATTGCTGCATTGTTCGCAATAGCAAAGAGTCGGAAGCAACCTAAGTGCCCATTATCAAACAAATGGATAGAGAAGCTGTGGTATATTCACACAATGGAATACTATGCTGCACTGAAAAACAAGGAACTCATGAAATACTATATAAAATGGATGACTCTGGAGGACATTATGCTGAGTGAAATATCTCAGTCAAAGGGACAAATATTACATAATGCCACTGACATGGGGGTTGGGAGGAAACTAAAAAAAAAAAAAGGGATAAATAATGTACATGGCACTGAAACAGATGAGGGAAAGAACTGTTTAAAAGGAATATGTTGTTGTTGTTGTTGTGTGTCACTGAGTCGCTTGCAACTCATAGTGACTCTATGTACAACAGCCCTAAACCCTGCTCTGTCCTGTGCCAATCTCACTGCCTCTGACACACCCATCCCGATTACCCCAGTCACTGAATCAATCCACCTCATAGAGGGTCTTCCCCTCTGGCACCATCCCTCCACCCTCCCAAGCATGACGTCCCTCTCTAAGGACCTGTCGTCCCTCCTTACAACATGTCCAAAGTATGTCAGATGATGGCAAAGTAGAGAATCAGCGAAAGGAAGAGCCTCACCAAGATGGACTGACTGGCGATCAAGAGCCCAGAGCCAGGCCGGCTTCACGCTGCTGCCTGGAGGGCAGCTGTGGGTTCAAGAACAAAAGAAAGGGACCGGGCTTGAAGTGGGGTCTTTGCAGATACAAGTAGTTACAATGAGGTTATAATGGAGGATAGAATAATATGACTCTTGTCCTTGTTTATAAAAAACAAAACAAAAACACCACAGAAGGAAGAAGACAGGGAAACACTGGAGTGACGCAGCTGTAAACAAGGAACATCCAGGACTGGGAACAACCACCATCAGAAGCCGGAAGAGGCAAAGAAGGAGTCTACTCTGGAGACACGGTGTGGTCGGCTGTCTTCTTGATTTTCAGCTTCTGGCCTCAACAACACTGAGTTTGCTTTTTTTAAAAAAAGAGTAACTATTAGAGAATGTCAAGGTTTGAGAATGACAGGGAACGACATCAAGGCCACTAGAGGGCACTCAATCTCCTATTAGAAATAAAATCTTTCCCCCAAATCAAACCAAGAAAAGCAGTCGAGATGGAAATTTTTCTTTTCACTCCTGGGGACGTCATGTATGAGAACAGAACTTTGCTCCACAAGGTTTTCAATGGATGATTTTAAGGAACCAGAACCACACCAAGGTGTTGAGTAGACTTGAACCTTCAACCTTTCCATCAGCAGTCATGACTGTTAACCACCGCACCATCCAGTGACTCCATCTCTTCAACCATTTCTTTTAGTTGCTGTTGAGGTAATTCTCTCAGAAACAATGAGACTCATGGCCTGCAACTGACCTTCCTTCTCCGCCTGCCCTAGCCACTGTGGCCTCGCGTGGCTCCTGGAAGGCCAGGGCCACCCTTTCCGGCTGGGTTTCTGCCCAGAGCCTGTGGTCGGGTCAGCTTTCTTGGAGCACACACAGTCCACCAACTTGCTCACACGCCTCCAGGATGGTCACTCTCGAGGAACCTGCCACGCATACAGGCTGGGCTTCATTGACATCTGGTGTCAGCCTCTGGAAGGGTGCTGGTGTTTTTCTGTTTGAAATATCCCAGGAGAACATAACCAAGGTTCCACTTCAGAATCAATTAAGAAGAAAATGATCAAAGATGAGATGGAAGCTGAGACAGTCCCTGCCTCTCCTTCCCAATCTCCGCTGTGCTTACGCCCACTGTTGGAATCGCAGGGCCAGTCCATTCCGCGGAGGGTCTTTGTTGGGGACTCTATCTTTCCAAGCACTGGCTCCTCTTCACGACATGCCCAGAACACGTGAGATGCCGTCTCACCACCATTGCCTCTGAGGAGCACCCGGGTTGCACACCCTCAGGTCAGTTGTCCTTTTGGCAGTCCGCGGTCTGGTCAGTATTCTCACAGCGCAGTTACTCTGGGAATGATTTTGGCACTTTCTTAAACACTGCTTCTCATACAACCTGACCATTCAGCTAAGTATTTACCCAAGGGAACTGAAACGCGCGTGCACGGAATGCTCTTGTAACTCTAAGAACTTAAACTTGGAAACAACCCCAATATCTGTCAACAAGATATAGATAAAATATCCACAAACAGAATAGGGGACAACCTACTAATACCCACAATATCACCGATGAATCTCAAACTAATCATGTTGAGAGAAAGAAGCAAAGTGAAAGAGGATGTACAATATTATTTCCATTTATATAAAATTCTAGAAAAAAAAATCGAAACTATAGGACCACAAGTAAATCGGTATTTGCCTAGGAGGTGGTAAGAGGAGCATAGGGAAACTTTTGGGGTGATAAATATGTCTACTATATTGTGCAATGCAATGTCAAGTGTGTGTATAAATATCTGTTATGTGCTGTCGAGTCGCCTGCGACTCACAGCGACCCTATGTACAACAGCTCTGAACCCTGCTCTATCCTGTGCCAACCTTACTGTCTCTGACACACTTACTCCCATTACCCCAGTCACTGAATCAATCCATCTCATAAAGGAGCTTCCTCTCCTGCGCTGTCCCTCCACCATCCCAAGCATGACGTCTGTCTCCAAGGACTGGTTCCTCCTTGCAACACGTCTGTCTGTCTATCAATCTATCTATCTATCTATCAAAACACACACACACATATACATACATATCTTACATATACTTGAGAGTGGCATCCACTTCCTAAACAACATGCCTCTGGAAACCATATGAACTTTGGTAAATGTTGATAGTTATAGAAAGACTTCAGGCCTTTTGTTCATAGGGTCGGTATGAGTCATAGTCGATGGCAATCAACAGCAACAACAACAACAATACACACACATACACACACTTCTATTCTCCACTTTAATTATTTGCAGCTCATCCTAAGTTGACTGCACTGCAATAAAGCTACTAATGTTTTTAAAACAAGATCTACTGTTTCCGGTTCTCTTCATTCTTCAGATTCACATGTGGCTGAGAAAGACGAAAGCAGCCAGGGCTCCTCTTCCTGGTCTCCTCTTGGTCAACTGTCTCTTAGACGTGCCTTGGATGGGTCTTGGGTTGTTATTCTGTCACTAAGGAATCAGTATGATCTCGTTTTCTTAAAGATTGGGTGAGAGAGTTAGCCAGCTAGCTAAAATCCTGGCCCCTTATCGGGGATCCATCCCCGATATGTCAGGAGAATTCCGCCAAAAGGAGGCACCAGGTTGAAATGAAGATGCGGAGAG